AAGTCCTTAATGCTGTATGTCATTACCTTCAAAAAATGCTGTTTTGGTGCTGGGGGCAGATGGGGAAAGGTTTCTGGTAGGCTCTGGTGAATGTTCCTGTTACTCCCACTTGTCTCTTCCAGCTCTGCTGCTGTCTGTGTGAATCCATAGCCTGGCACGTGAACTCGAACCCTTGGTAAGGAGGGTTGAGTGGAGGGGCTGGAGGGGAAGCTGGAAACCTGAGATGCAGGCACGCTTTTGTTGTCTTAGTCAGCTGTGAGGATGGTGGTCTCTATCAGTACGGTGATGTTACTGAATGCAGACCGGAGCTCACGACTGCCGGTGAGACTTTTCTACTGCCGGTGAGACTTTTCTATCTGGGGAAGCGTGTTTGTGAGTGCTAGCTGGCCAGAACTCTGTGTCTCTTTGCCTAGTGAGAACGAACAGCATTTGCCAGTCTTCTGCTCCAGTAACTGCTTTCCAGCACCATGCTGATGATGCTGGCCCTGGGTATTTTGAGTGAGGAGGGCAGAAAAAACTTCCGCATTTATTGTTGCCATTGCTCTTCAGCTTGTAGCCCTGTGTGACTGTTCGTACCAAGTACCTTCTTTACTAGAGAGGAAAACTGTAGAAGCCCAACTTCTTTCCTTCCTACCCAGATTGTACTTTTGAAATCACATCTTTTGTTAGGTCTGCATTTGCCTTTCCCAGGTACTCCCGCCCCCCTGTAAAGCTGGCTGTGCTTGTGGGTTCTACTCTTCCCATGAAGGTCTGAGTGCAATCGTTCTCAGCCTTTTATATTCTGAAGAACTTTCTTTTTAAAAAGAAAAAGCACTGATTGCTAAATATTGAGTTCAAACCCACTGACAATACGCTTGCTTTTCTTAATTACTTTCTTGGTAATTAAGGGTTGGTCCATGTTCTCCCAGGGTGGATCTTGCTTGAGGACAGCTGAAACAGAGTAGGAGCGGGACTGGAGTTTATTTCAGAGTCTTAGACCCAGGATTGGTCTGCCCACAAACTTTCAAAGGCGCTTCATAGAGCTACATGCAGAAAACTACTTGCAGCTCAGGCTGTTGGAAGCATCTTCCAGGAGGTTTGTGTATAACTAAGACTCAGTTTAAATTCTCACTGCTGACTCGCAAGACTAAAGTTTTATAAAACTTTCCTATAGAGAGGAACTTGTGTTTTGAAGGCACAGAACTGGCTCTGTAACCCCTTCAGCAAAAGGCAGTCAAACTTCCTCTGCTTGTCAGTCCCTCAGACCTGACATGCAGAGACACACAGACACTCTCAGGTTTGCCTTTCTGTAGTACTTGTAATGTGCATGTTAAATACTTGGTGTTTTGTATGCTTGAAGATCAAGTAGTGGAGTTACGTGCATATCTGTTGTGCATAATGGCAATCGTAATCACATTAGCTTTACTTTTCCATTTGTAAATATCCAATTAAGATACCAAGACTGAATAATGGGAGAGAAGTGTTTTTGTCAACCGAAGAAGTCAGTAATACTGTCAAAAAATATCAAAATAAGTTTATTTTGATAAGGGAGTCTGTGCTCAAAACCTACCTTTGGTTTTTGGACTGTGCTGATTGCAACCTGTATTTAAACAATAAAGCAAACTTTGTTTTGCAAAAAAACCCCCAAAAAACCCAAAACACAGTGAAAGTGATTTTCTTTTTTTTTTAAGGTTTGATCTGAGAAGCAGTTTCCATGTTTAACTTGCTCACTGCTCCTTCAACTTGAGACAAAAATATTCTTTTCATGTCCATCTAGTCCTTTATGCCAAAGGCAAATAACATGGGTCTAGCGCTCCCCTACACCCCTAAAAACTCTTGAATCATCAGAGAGCATTTATTACTGATTAATATGTCAAGAAAAACTATTAGTATGCTAATAGTAGTACAGTGCCACTGGTAAAAACAGATCCATAAATTTGATTAGCATATAGGCATCGCGATATGCTCTACAGTCTCCCCCCCCCACCCCTTTGGAAGGGGAGAAGCTCTGCATCGTGTGCTGAACTAATACTAAGCATTGATGAGGTGGGGAGGGAGAAGAGGACGTGGCCGCAAAAAGCAGGTACAGTGTCTTGCTGAAGCTCTGGGTTTGTTTGCAGTGTTGGGTCGTTGGGATGTTGTTTTCTTATGTTAGAACTTAGCCCATTTATAGCAAGGTCTGAAGAAGAGTGAAGTTGGCAGTAGCCGTCGTAATTGTACAGTCTTTGAGACTTTACTTTTCACTAAATGTCTGAAAAAAGACACAGTGACTTTCTCAGGAGAAAACAACCATCCATATGTGTTTTAGTGGGGTAACCAAGTGTGTCATATTACTGCTCAAATAAAAATCTCTAAAGCTTAACCCATGCTGCTCACTTTAAACCCAGGTTCCGTTTTGCAGCGCTTTAAATCCAGAAGATGCAGTTCGTGCTGGTCCTGGTCTGCTTTTTAGAAACACGTTTAGCCGGTGGGTGGCAGTGGGCTTTCCTACCGCTTGGGATTACGTTCAGCCAAAGTTTGTCAGACTTAGATGCTTGTATTACTTACTCTTGGGTAGCTAACAGATATCCTAGTATTTTCTACCGCTACTGATTTTTGGCCCAAAATGGGATTAAATGCCACTGGATGTGTCTAAAGCAAATGACAGCAGCTTTCTCATGCTGAAATTTACATTGTTTGCAGAACAAAAAACCAAACAAAAATGCCTTTCTTATCACACCAGCCATCTAGAAAGTGACATAACATTTGCTTTAGCTCTAATTTCTTTTGTAATGTAGTAGCACTCTATTAATTTTGTGCCATGCTCCTTACTTTACTTGCTGGCATTAGCAAACTCGTTTCAGTAGAAATGTTTCAATTTTGATCTTCCTAACTTTTTTTTTAAAGTTCTGGTTTACAGATGCAGAACCTAAAGAACAGACTTTAATACCTGAAAACTTTCTGTAAAACAATAATTCCCTACTTAATAAACTTGCTGTTAGTCCTCTGATCCTTGAATTAAAGTGGCAGGAAGAAGAGGCACAGTAGTGATGGGGGGGAGGAAGTCTGGACAGTTGAGAGAGCGGTGAAGAGGCATTTCTTTTTGCTGAACTGGGATATCCAGAAATAGGCTCATGCAGTTGTTCAGATGCGCTGTGTTTGGCTCCTATTACTTGTAACTCATTGAATCACCCGTGCTTGGTTCTCTCAAATGGGATTTAATTGCATCAAGGACGCTGAATTGGTCACTACTTGGCCAATGTGCAAGAATATATGAAAGCTTGCAAAACTCCTTAAATTTCTCTTTCCCCTGAACAGAGCGTTTGCTGAAGATGACCTTGGAAGAAAGACGCAAAGAGTACTTAAGGGATTATGTTGCACTGAAAAGTATTCCAACGTGGATGGAAGACTTAAAAAGTAAGAGTGAAAGTGATGGTAAGTAAAACAGGGGACTCTTAAAATATAGACCATTCTGTTTTCTTGATCTGAAGTTACTTTCAAGAGGGCCAAGACTTAGAACCCATGTTGTCACTAACAGTGGCAGCCTAACATGGCGACAAGAGCTTCGGGGTGGGGGGGGAACCCGAACAAAATTTCTTAAAGCCTCACTGGTTTCCACTAATTCTGCAAGTATCCCCAGACAGAGTCATAATAACACTGATACCCTTAAGTGTGTAAAATAGCTATTCTCTGCATGAGTCTTACTTTCCAGATACTCCAACAGTCGGCCATGCCTAATGAACTTTGTCTTTGAAACTCAGTGAGCATAACAGTATGGGGAATCTGGGCAAAATAGTGTTGTTCTTGTAGGTGGCTGAAAAGCAGAGGGGTTTGTGCAAGTTCTGTTGTTTTCTGAAAATCCAGAAACGGGAGAAGATTGGATTTGAAGCCTCTCTTGAAAACAGCATTTCTTACTCATGGTCCTGCCTGCTTTCCTGGGCTAAGGAACATAAGCCCGGCCTGGATTAAAGCCCCTTCTCTTAGCATGTGCAGTGTTATCATGGTTATGATCACCAGTAGAGTTGTCTAAGTACTTGCAGTGAAGGCTGACCAAAAATGAGAATCTGATTCGCTTACACAGAGAACTGTTTTCTGTACGTAATTCTGTAGCAGTGCCTCATTCTTGTCTAGTTCTCTTTCATCCACACGAGTGTGTGGAAGAGGGACTTTTTCCGAGCTGGTTTCCTCCTTTTTCCTTTCTATGTCTTGATATCTTACTTGGCTGAAGCTTGTGTTTTTTGGAAGGGGATCTAACTATGAGACTTAGTGTTTCCTGTTTCTGCAGATACAGGACTAGTTTTCTGACACTTGTTATTATGAGCAAGTACTTGCCTGTGTGAACAGATGTGTAGAGTAATCTTGTGGCTGCAGGTGTACATGGTCTTTATGATAATACTCCAGGTGAGATGAGGCCTGGAACTAATCAGCTGTCTCTAATAAAATGGGAAAGCTGTAACACTTTTTTAGTACAATCTGGATGAGCTGACAGATTAGCAGATGCCATTGTCATAAACAACTAATGCTATCATCTACTCCTAAAAGCATCTTTAATGACTTTTGAAGTGAAAATCTCGGAGGTTGCTGAGCTCTTCAATGCTGGTGAGTAGTTGTATTACAACAGTACCTATAGACCTCTTTCTCCCATTAGAGTAGGTCTTTTATATCTTACAATGTCGAGAAGCCTGTCCATCCAGAAAACAAAGGCTGCATAAAAATAAAAAAGATTACCTGACTTCTCCAAAGTTCATTTTGGAGGCCTGCGGTACATGGGGATATGCAGTATATCATGTGGTTTAACTGGGAGACTCTTTATCTGTTCTAGCCTAAACTATGTTTTTATTCTAACTGCTCTCAGATTCTGTGTAATGTGCTAAAATTCACAGATCTTGTATTACTTGGGCTGCTGAATGTGACAAGGTGTGGATTTAGGTTGTGACTGCTGTTACACTTCACATAAGCAAAATGTCAGTGTCTAATATGTGGGTCTTGAATCATGGCAGTGGTGAATTTATTTTCTTGTAGCTGCTCTTGCATTCTTCTCTGTTAGTACCCAGTACACTGCAAAAAATGCTGGAAGGCAGAAGTTGTGCTGAAACACTTATTCTCTGCTGCTTGAAGCTTTTGTTATACTGTACATTCAGGAGAAAATATCTGTAGTCGCTTGTTTTCTTTGAGTATTTGTTGTAAATAAGCCATGTGGAATAGTGAACTTCTAGAAGGTTAGGCTGCTGAAATGCTTCCATGTTTCAACCGATCAGTGCAATTAAATATGTATATTAATGTGACAGTTACTGCATCTGTTTCAAACTTTATTTCCCTTAAATGTTGACCCTGCTCTGAGGGTATCAAGGGTGTGCAAGAACTGTCTTTCTGAGCTGAAATACCAAAAACCTAGATTTTAAGTCTTCTTGCTGAGGCACAGTAGTGATGCGTATACTGGGACTGTTCCGTATACTGGGACATACGGAGGGCAACTGGTACAACTTAAATGAGACTCTGGAGAGAGCAATTGAAGCCCCAGGTATGATGAAATCAGTAATGACTTGACAATGCCCTGCCCAAGTTCTGGTACTTTCTTCAAGTGAAAGGCTACTTCTTGCAGTAACAAACTGAAGAGGTCTGAAGGGGTGGGGGAGGGGGGAAGAATAATTGTCTGTACGCTTGACAAGCCAAGACAGCAACTGATGGGAAATGTGGAAAAAGTTCTTTACCATTTACTTCCAACGCTCTATACAGTGGAAAAAAAATGACTGATTAGTAAAGCGTGGAGTGGCTGTTCAGGAAGAGTGATGAGGAGAAATCAAGAAAGGAACCAAGAACAAATAAAGTGAAGCAGGTGCAATCAACCAGCCGCTGGAGTAAGAAGCTGTACAAGGGTAGAGCATCTGGGCCGGCAATAGTCCCCGTAGATACTCAACTGGAAATTAAGGGTGTTCAGTACTGCACAAATCTTTGTACTGACTCTTAGGGAAAAACTGCTTGAACAATACAAAAGCTTTATGGTACCCATTTTTAAATGCAGATGACTCGCTGGAGAGTGTTAGGAGATTCCAGTTAGGCACGCTTTTGTTATATGGAAGTTTAACAGGAGATTATTGAGAAGTTTCTGTGCAGAACTGCTGAAACTGAAATGACCTAAAAGGTTCCTGTTGGGAAGGAACCAACCTGATCGCCATGATAATTCTGCATGCTCTTTATTGACAAGTTTGGAGAACATACCTTAGTTTGTGGAGGAAAGTGTTTCTTCCCCACTCCTCCTCCTCTACCCTTTGGTACGAAGCTGTGTTCCGAACTAAACTCTGAAGAAAACCAGTAAAGCTTGGAATAAGTTGGTGTTAAGGTAAATTTTGGCAAGGCTGGAAGTCTTTTTAACAGGGATGTATAATAATGTAAAGGCTTCTGAGGAGTGAAGTTAGGGAATTCTGAATGGCAGCTGACAAGGGCTTTGTCTTTTTCAAACACCTTTGCTGCTATAAAAAACACTTGCAAGTTGAAAGCAGCTGTGTATAGTTTTTGTCTTTGTTTTGCTCTTCTGTGACTAAAACAAACCTACGGTTTTTGCAGGTGTCCTTATATGGAAATGACTAGCCATAAGAAATTAAGTTGGCGTGTGTTTTGGCATGGAACCTGGTCAATATTTCTGATACTTTTTGATTTTGTTTTTTGAGGCGGGCGTAATGTGGAATGCAGGGACTAAGCCTGGTGCCCGCCACTCTGAACTGCGGGAAGCAAGCTGTCGTGGGCACGTGCATTTCCAGAAGGACTACGTTGTCAACACCCCTGAGTTTTGGCATACAGCTTGCCAGGCTGCACAAGCAGACCTCAAGAGATCAAATATCATAACATTGTTCACTTTTCACTGCTGTTATTGACAAGTGGTATTCTCTAATGTCAGAGGGGATGGTAGGAAGGGAAGAAAGTTCTTGTTCTTGAAGTACTTCTGTAAATGTAAAAGCTTTCTCTTTTAACTGCATTTATTAAGGAAATGAGGAACTGTCCACTTTGGAAATGAAGAATAGTCTTGTCATACAGGGCTGGATAGTACATGTATACTGTAATCCGTCGTTCCTCCCACTTATCCTTCAGATATACCAAAGGAAGACACATCTCATCTGTTCTGTTATGTACTTTGAAGCAGCATTCCCTCCTGACAACGTGCGAATAATGGACTTGTTTTCTGAAGCTCTGGAATTTGTATACCTTCACTTCAATGCTGTTTATTATATACCACTTTATGCTAGGCACTCATCCTGTACAGCGATGGTAACTTATGTTTTGTGATGCTTGGTGAATAAAATGCCACCATGCAGATGAATAACTAGAGTGGTTTTTTTAAGTTAAATATGTATATTAGCTTTTTCTTGGGTACACAGTTATTCCCAAAGATGTCTTTACTCTTTAGTGGGGAATGTGAGAAATGACTTCAGAAAACTTTCTTGAAAGCTTTTCGAAAAATCATGGTCCTCAGGAATTCTGTTGTCACTGAGTTTCTACTGGTGACATGCAAAACCTGTTTTGTTGTATTAATGGGATAATTCAGAAAATGGAATAAATTATATAGTTTAACTCAAGGCAGCTGACAGTCCTGCTGACTCTCACAGTCTCTGGGATTCATTGGTATAGCAGCAGTGCCAAGAAAACAGCAAATTCAGGTGATGGTTTAAAAGATCTTTGCTAATGGTAAGAACTACTTTTGAATGGATGAAGTTAAAATGGAGGGACACAGTAACTGAGTGTCTTCAGTCTTTTATTTTTGTTTAAGATTAAATGACATGAAATTTCTGCAGTCCTCTTTTTTTTTTTCTTTTTAAGCAAGTCTTGAAGTATGATTAGGTGTTTTGGCAGGCTCTGGATTTTCTTAATCTGGTATATTTTTAGATAATGATATGGTTCAAACTGTATTCAAATTAATCTACTTTAACACTGAGGTTTTTATGTATAATAGTAAGGTTTGGATTTAATAAACATCTTTGTACTATGAATCTGTAGCTTTCTAAATAGTCACAGTGAGTTGACACAGGATTATAGAGACAAAGCATCTAGATGAGCCACTCAAAATCCTTCATGCTGAAAAGAAAATGTGTGGTAATACTGAGCTCCGTTGACTAGCATTTCTTGAGGTGGTTAACTAACCACAGGTAATATTGGGTTCTTCAGAGCATCTCCATGTGGTGCTGTTTGATGTGAATATCTGTCTTGTGGGAACGAGGAATCAAGGTGTGATGATCATCAAACAGCCTTTGGAAAGTAATGCCACTACTAAGCTGCAGTGAAATTCAGCCAGATGTCTATAAGTGAGAAATAGCATCTCTCCAAACCACTCGTTACTTTCAGTGAGTTATACAGGAAAAGAAATCATGTTCTACTGGAACATTAAGATTGTCAAAAGTTGCCCGACAATCAGCGAGTTCTGTCTGTAATAGCTATGTGAGACC